GGGGGAAAGGAGTGGGCATACCCTAAGCTTCCTGTTGCCATCACTTGTGTCATCCTCCTTTTAAGATGAGACACTTATTAGTAACAGAACAGAGGAGATGGCAATCACACGCTCACACAAAGCAGGTAAGGCCTTCTGTGGTTAGAATCTGGAGACAACCAAAGCAAGGAAATGCAGGGCCAATGCTATTACTTCATTCTTAGATTGTATCATTTATAGTTAATGTGCTCCACTTGTGAGTGTTACAGGATTCTGTTATCTAAGAAAGCATAAAAAAGTACTCTCCTGTCTACATGCGGAATTTAGCCATGTGTAAGCCTTTTTTCTCTAAATCATTTGCACACACCAAGCCAGGGTACATGCTCATGGCTTGGGATGTCCAAGAACCAGCTGGAACAAAGCAGTTTCCTCTCTCCTGTTTCCAGGCCTGCTGCTCCAAAGACTCATCCTGGTCATCCCACTGTCCACTCCTGAGCAGGGCTGTCTGTGGATAAGTCGTAAGGAGTGTGCAATTCTTCAGCACCCACAGAGGAGAAAGGCATATTTTTATCCTTCTGTGGGTACTTTCATTTTCAGCTTGCTCTGCGAATTATTGCCACTTTTTAGCAGCCACCTACTTTTGTGTTCCATAAAGAGCAGGGAGCGATGGGACCTGACCTTCCAGCACACCTGAGGTGACTGGGCACTCCTCAGGAGGTTAAGATACCATGGCTGAGGCTGTGCACAATGGGCCAGAGCAGGAGGAAACCAGCAGCTCCCATCCGGTGGCACGACCCACGACGCCGCCTTTCCCATCCCTCCTTCTTGCAGTGAGCCGTTTGCATAAATTCCTTGCAGATCAGGGAGAAAATTGATCCCCTACTTTTCAGCTCCCTTCTTTTACTGGTTGTCACAACCTTAACAGTACTTGACATCAATGGGAGTTACATTGTGGACTGGGGGCAGTGTTTGGCCCTTAAGCGTAGTTTTTGCATGTTAATACATTAGCAACTGATGTCTTATTTGTTCAGTAACTGACAGAATAATGTACAGAGAGCACGTAAGTATGAAAAGGGGCTAGTTAGGTAATGTTGAGCAGAACATCTTCAAGACAACAGTGCAACCACTGTATTTCAAATGTCAGGCTAATTATTATCAACATTTAAATGTTAGCGTGGGCCATTTTTAGTGGTGGAATTTTTCTCAGCAGGTACCATTTAGGGGAGAAAATGTCACATGTAGTTCTGCCATTGCATTGTTCAAAAAGAAGAAAAAGTACATAAAACAAGGAAAGTCTTCATAGAGACAGCAAAAAGAACATCTTGTTACTTAAATGTGACTGTAAAAATAATCTGTCTGATGATAGTGTTTGGGGTATCAATTGTTTTAAGGAGGCATGGAAAAGGTTTGCTAGAATATAACAATTTCAACTGAAAAGTGCACTCACCAGAGATAAAGCATATAAATTTTTTGGAGATTCATACTTTTGCAGGTCCCAGTTGTTCTGGAGGCAGTTGAAGTCTGAGCTGTGCACTCTCTGGTAACCCCTGAACTGAAAACGAAACTTGAATATGATTCAGCACAAAATGGAATGCAGTGCCAATGATTCAGATGCTTCTCCTCTGGTCTGATCCATCCCTTACCACGTAAACACAGCACTAAATGGCAAACACCACTACAGTCCAGGGCAGAACCTGGGAATAATCAGGAGCAGGTTTTGCTAGTCCAACTCTCACGTAGAATTATGTGAATTAATCACAGAATTGAACCCTCTGTTGGGCTAAACATTTATTTCTGCCCTTTAGCTGGATTTTTGCTGCATCTCAGAGTCAGATGTGAAATGAGTGCCTGTTTTGTGCTGGCCATGGCTGTGTTTTCCCTCCTGTTCGTGGAGTTGCAGGGAGGATTCCTTTGGGCTCTTCTCTGTGGACTTGAAGTAACTTGTTCCTGTGCTGTCTCTGTAGCTCCATCTCACACATAAGGTTTGGGTGAAGCTTGAAATCTTTAGTTTGACCCAGTGGAAAGAACAGAGTGGAGTTCGGATGTGTTGTGTAGGAGGGCTTTCATTTCTCGACACTGAGTTCGACTTTATGCATCATGAGTGAGAAAATAGCAATCACCTCAAAATGCATTAAGCATGCTTTGCCCAGTGACCCACATTTAAAGAAACTATTGTCAGTTATAATAATAATAATAATAATAATAAAAAAAAAATCCTTTTTGTTTTCCTGTAAAGGCAGAGCTAAGGTGCTGAGGTGTGCTTGTGCTGACAGCGGTGACAACATTTAACTTCTGAAAATGGGAAAGCAAAGGCTGCGGTGATATTGTATTGAATTTCACATGGTGAGGCCGGGGTTTTTTTAATGCTTCTGTGTCTGATTTGACACAGAAACAACAAATGCACGTAGTCGGTCGCCAAACTTCACAAAAGTCTGAAACAGCAAGGAAAAATCCCCTGGCATGAGCAGTGCTGAAATAGATGTAATTAGTGTGCGGAAAGATCCTCACAGCCTTGTCTCTA